ACTACATAGACACATGTATATTAATAACCCCCTTGTAATGCAAATAAAAAATTAAACTCAGTGCTGACCTTTAATATCATAAGCTGAAATAAAGAAGCAGCACATTCCAACAATGCTAAAACTTCTTTATGTGGTTCTAAAGTGAAGAACCAAGTACTGCACCAGCAACACACAGCTAATGACTAATTTAGCTGTTTTCTTGGAGATTCCTTAAGGAGATCAAGTGCACCCATGGCAGGAGGTGATTTGATAGAACCATAAACTATGGCAGTATGTTGAGCTCAGCAGCCCATTTAAATCAGTACCAATTTTTGCCAGAAAAAGTGAATTAATTAGTTATTAAATACCCCTTCACACAGACTTCTGAAAATAATTAATAGAAAGAAATTAACATGTTAAAATATATGATTTTTAAAATGCATTCTTCCTTAAAATGCTAGAATCAATAGTTCACATATCGGGGCTGGGGAGATGAATCCAGGCACAAACTTCTGCTCTGGTCTATTTGTGAAGCTGGAATCCACTGAATGACATAATTTAACCAGAATTTCCCTCTTTTATAGAGGAAACAGGATGGTGCAAGTGTGAGCTCAGCTCTAGCAAAACCCACGGCTGTGGTTCTTAGGGACCAACAATCAGGGCTCCTTGCTAGAGGTGAAATTCTGATTTACACCAGCTAAAAACCTGCTTTGTTTCCTACCCCACCTCAGTTTCGGTTTGGGGTATTCTTTGTGCACATGTGGAAACAGGAAACAGGAGAGATGAACTCAGGAAAACCAGAAAGTTGCTGATAGTGCTTGGTGGGAGGGCACTGCAACAGGAATAAAAAAGGTTTATTCCAAATGGATGAGTGATTGTGGATGTCTCATTGTCCTTGGATCAGAGGTCTGAAATATCTTTAAAAGAGGCAAATTAAAAGCTTTAACCATTTGGAATGCAAAGTCCCTTAAAGTGATTAACACTATTGTTATTATACTAGAGTAATAAACTTTATTATTTTTAAGAAATGCTTTTTTTCAGTATTATCTTTTTGAGAAAAAAAACAAGAAAAAAAATTTCTCTGTTTTTACAGAGGTAAAAGTAAATCAGCTCCCAGAAGCAAAGTCTGTAGAAATGTAAATGAAGTTTCATTAACTCTTTCTCCAGTGTTCCAATTATGAAGAAAAAAGAGTTTCAACAATACAGAGACAAATTAAGCTCCCTAGAGGAGTCTAAACAAACAACATTGCCCAATGCAATTAACACTCTGTCATTAACTGTTGTTGTGAAGTTTGTGAAGTCAGGCAATGACTTCATCCTGAGATGACTTACTTTGCTTTCCTCTTTTACAAGCAAACTAAACCAAAAAAAAGAACATTATACTCAATTTTAGTGCCCTTTTCTGCCTTTATATCCAGTCAGATGAAACAGAGACACCTCAGAGCTCAGCATGGCCACATTGGTAGTGAAGATTTCTTTTTCTTGACCTCAATATAGAAAATGCAGTTTGAATGCTGCAGGCTCTGGCCCAGGCTATTCACCGAGCCAGAGCACTTCTTGTATCCAGAATAAACCTCAAAACCCCCCCAAATAAATACTCCCAGGTTGTAGCAGCCCTTTTCTCTGTGTGCTAATCCTCTGGAATTTCTTCTTTTCATGCCTGGATGAATTTCTCCAGCTGGGATTTCCAGAATGCTCTTATCCCATGCAGTGCTTGGAGGGTGTGGGCACTGCCCTGCATTAAATGCTGAGTTCTTGCTGGAAATAAGGAATTACCTCCAGTTAATCTTCCTTTCCTTCCCTTTCCCAACACCTTAAATGAAAACCACAAGGCTCTGAAAGAAGTGAACTGATTTCCTTATCACTGTCATTCAGTAGAGCTCTTTTCTGCCAGAAGGAATGGAAAATATATAAAAAGAAAAAAAAAGGCAAAGCAAAACATGTAGTCCCTATCAATTAGTGTGTGCTTAGCCTGGAAAATTCACAATAAAATTATTTCTTCAGTAAGAGGGTGAGGAGAACTCCTGCAATGAAGTGAGGGGTTGCAGCCTGGATACCTGAATTAGACATGGGAAGTGCTCAGCTTTAGAAGAAATGTCTGGTATATATATTTTGTACTTTAAGGAAGAAATGGAGATTAAAATTCTAAATAATTTACTTCTGAAGCAAAGAATGAAGACAAAATATTTACAAGCGGGAAAGAGATCTTTGTGCCTGCAGTTTCCCCTGAGCTAGTAAACCATTAGAGATCACCAAAAATGGAAATAAGGTTTTTAATCCACACATTTATGGAGAAGAAAATCATCAGGGTGTAAATGAGGGTGTTTAAAGTGGGAATTACAGTTGTGTATATGAGAGCCAGGACTTTCTTAGCCTCCTGTGAATCACTGGATTTTGGCTGTAAGTAAATCAAAGTCCCGCTGGTGCAGTACAACGTTACCATATTTCTGCTTTAGAAGAAATGTCTGGAATTTATATTGTACTAAGGAAGAGATGGAGATAGAAATTCTAAATAATCTGCTTCTGAAGCAAAGAATAAACACAAAATATTTACAAGTGTGAAACAAAACTTTGTGCCTGTAGTTTCCCCTGAGTTAGTAAACCATCAGAACTCACCAAAAATGGAAATAAGGTTTTTAATCCACACATTCATGGAGAAGAAAAATCTTTATTTCTTCATCAACACAGCCATCCCCCTGATTAGTACTTCTTTGACTTCTTTATTTCTCAGGCTGTAAATGAGGGGGTTTAAAGTGGGAATTACAGCTGTATATATGAGAGCCAGGACTTTCTTAGCCTCCTGTGAATCACTGGATTTTGGCTGCAAGTAAATCAAAGTCCCGCTGGCGCAGTACAACGTTACCACGGTAAGGTGCGAGGAACAGGTGGAGAAGGTCTTGTGCCTGCCCTCTGCAGAGGAGATCCTCAGGATGCTGGAGACGATGCAGGTGTAGGACAGCAGGATGAGGCAGAAGGGCGTGAAGATGACGAGCACGGTGGCCGAGATCAGCTGGCGCTCGTAGCGCGACGTGTCCGCGCACGAGAGCAGCACCAGCGGCGGGATGTCACAGAAGAAGTAGTTGATGCTCCTGGGCCCACAGAAGGGCAGGGTGAACACCCAGGCTGTCTGCACCACCGACACCACCTGGCCACTGCAGCAGCAGAGCAGCACCATGGAGAGGCAAGCCCTGGTGCTCATGATGGCCGGGTACCTCAGCGGGCGGCACACGGCCACGTAGCGGTCGTAGGCCATGGCTGCCAGCAGGTACCACTCAGTGGACGCCAAGAAAACCACACAGTAGAGCTGTGTGACACAGCCCAGGTAGGAGATGCTCCTGTCCTCTGACAGGGTGCTCACCAGCATCTTGGGGACCACCACTGAGGCTGTGGAAATATCCAGGATGGACAGGACGCGGAGGAAGAAATACATGGGCGTGTGGAGGGTGGGGTGAGCTGTGGCCATGCAGATGAGGAGGTTCCCGATGAGAGTCATGCTGTAAACGAAGCAGATTGTGAAGAACAGCAGGTGCTGGAGTTCTGGGCGGCTGGACAACCCAGAGAGGATGAATCCACCCAGCAGGGTGTGGTTTCCTGCATCTTGTTCCTCTGCTGGCTCCATCTGGGAGGAATCAGAGAGACTGTCAGACCAGGATCACACTGCTTCCAACCAGGAGCAGCCTCCTGGGGCTGCCTGGAGAGCTGCTGGATCAAAGGGTGGAAGTCTAGAGCAGGCTGGGCTGAGCACACTGAGAAGGCAGTGGCTGGAAGTGTGTGGTGCCAGCGCCCTCCAAGTGTCATTGTTTGGTGGTGTCCCCAAGCCTTTGACCAAGAGGAGCTGGCACTGAAGGGGTGGCTCCATCATGGGTGCAGGGTTAATGCTGAGGATCTGCTTTCCCCCCAGATGTCAGGTCTGTGCTCCCAGCTGCTCCCAGGGAACGCCCCGGTGAAAACTGAGACACCCACAGACCACAGGAAGGAAGAAAAACCCTTGTGCTACCTTAGGAGCAGTGGGCAATGCTCCTTGCACTCTGTTTCTCCTCCTGAGTGGGCTGACAGGGCAGGCAGCCTCCCTCCAGGACATCTGAAGTCCAGAGCAACCCAAATTCAGATGACAGCCAGGGAAGTTGAGGCTGTGGGAGGCTTTGGCTCACATTCACATCAATCCCCAGCTGCCAGGGGGACAGAAATTCTTCCAAGAGCCCAAAAATACTTCCAGGAGCCCAGCTGTGGGGAAACCACTCCCGAATGGAGCAAGCAGAAGCTGTGAAAAGAAGTCCTAAGCCAACTCCTGCCCACCAAAACACCACAGAGCAAAGAAATCAGCACCAAATTAAACCAAATAAAAATTTGTGTCTATAGGCAGGCAAAGGAGAAGGAATAATTCGAGGCAGAGGTACCCATGGGGAATGATGAGGAAATGCAGAGGGAGAAGCTCAGGACCATCCATTCATGACTCACATGGCCTCGTTCCTGTGTGAGGGATGGTCACAAAGTGCTGCACCAGCTCTGTTTCCTCACTGCCCAGGATGGGAAACTGAGGCACTGAAAGAGAGGAGATCAGCCTGCCACGGAGGAGAAAGGATGGTGAATTCTGTGTCCTTCAGGCTCAGCATCTTTCACCAAAGGGCACTGCCCTACAGCAGCAAATCTCAAGGCACAAAATGAATTTTGGCACCAGAAATGTGGCCATGAACACTGGGGGAAGCACCTTTGGCTCTGTACACACAAGGAACAATCAGCAGAGCTGGCACACAGAGAAGGACACAGCTCAAAACCAGAGCACTCCCCCAGCTCTGCCATCACCAACCACCCTTGGGCTGCTCTGTAGATGATATTGCCCCTGACGAGGGGAGAGGAATGATGCATCTGACTCCATCTTATCAGAAGGCTAATTAATTACTTTATTATACTGTATTATTCTATACTATATTATCCTATTACTATATTACACTATATTACACTATATTATTCTATGTTATATTACACTATTACTATATTACACTATATTTTTACTATATTATACTATATTACACTATATTATTACTATATGACACTATATACCCTCCCCCTGATGAGGGGAGAGGAATGATGCATCTGACTCCATCTTATCAGAAGGCTAATTAATTACTATATTATACTATATTATTCTATACTATATTACTATACTATGTTACACTATTACTATATTACACTATATTATTATTATATTACACTGTATTATGCTATATTACACAATATTACACTATATTATCACTATATTAAACTATATTGTACTATATTACACTATATTATTATATATTACACTGTATTATGCTATATTACACAATATTACACTATATTATTGTTATTATATTAAATTATATTATTATTATATTACACTATATTGCCTCCCCCCAACAAGGAGAAAGAATGATGCATCTGACTCCATCTTATCAGAAAGCTAATTACCTTCTTTATTATACTATATTATTCTATACTATATTATACTATTACTATATTACACTACATTGTTATATTACACTATATTTTTACTGTATTATACTATATTACACTATATTATTATTATATTACATTATATTATTACTATATTACACTATATTCCCTGCCCCGACAAGGAGAGAGAAATAATGCATCTGACTCCATCTTATCAGAAAGCTAATTAATTACTTTATTATATTATATTATTCTATATTATATTACATTATATTAAATTACATCACAGCAGCCTCTGTTTTACTGACAGTTCATCTTTAATTCCCTAATTCAGAACACCTCTCAGAAACAACTCTCAATTTATATAATTTGTGTAAAAACGAGTAAACTTCTTTTTGTAATAAGTTTTGGCCTTAGTTCTTCCTTGGATTTTCTCTATACATTCACAGCAGACATTTTGAAGCAAAGTGTCCTACCTGCAGCAATTCTGCTATCCAGTGCCTCCAAAATGGCTCATTCCAATTTTGATAGAAGTATTTCCCTTGTTTTCTTACATTAGGAATTTTGTTGGGCTGATGATTCCTACAGTCAGATTACACTGCAGATCAAAAATGCTTTTAAATTATTTTAATTATTTAAAATTATTTTACATGCAGATGCTCTTCTGCCACAGCTGGAATAATCTACTGACATCATCACATGGCATACACCATAGAAAGTCAGCCAAGGACTTGCCTCACAGAGAGGAGGAAAAGGAATTTGTCAGATTTGTTTCAACTCAGTTGAAAGCTGAGAGGCATCTCTATTTTTTGCCCATGAAGGGAACAGCTGAGCTGCCTCTGCTGCTTAAATAGAGTCTCTTGAAATCCCCAGATCCCCTAGAGGTGGGGTTGATTTAATCTGGTTTCAGAGCTGTCAGGGATGGTTGTTCAGGGCTGTGCTCTCTCTGTGGGCAAGGGGATGCAGCAAACATCCTCACACCAGCACTGAGATGCTGCTCTGGATGGAGCCCTCCCGCACTGTCTGGAAAATGGGACCAGAGGGACTCCTGCACACACAGGAATCGCATCTCTTACATGCCCAAGGCTGTGAATTCTGCATCCTCCCCAGCTGGGGACTGATTGTTAACCTGAAAGGTCTGAGCAGCAGCTGGAAATCTCAAGGGATGTGTGACTCCAAGGGCAGAATTAGCCCAATGCTGCCTTTGTTTAATTGGACTGGTGTCTTTAGGGGCAGTGCTGTCTCTGCTGGGAGAGTTTTCACTCAACTCCAGACACTCACAGCTCATTCTTCAATTTTTAGTGATTGCTTGTCAACTGTGAATCCTTTCCTTCCTTCTTTCCTTTTCCCTTTCCTTTTCTCTTTTTCCTTTTCCCTTTCCTTTTTCCTTTTCCCTTTCCTT